GCTCATCGTGCTATAAAAATTGAGTGCTATTATTTAATCGTATTAAAGCAAAACTGTGTGTTTTATTATTTAAGGTAGTATTTATTATCTTATTATAAATAGTGTTTTATGAGAACACAACGGAAAATACTAAAATTGATATGTTATACTCAGAAGCAGACGTCGAGGCGATGCAAAAACTTGTGGTGTAATTTATCCTCAATCAAGCGGAATACAAATCGAATAGGTTTTTTGTTTTAGCATGGGGAATGATTAAATCTGGTTTCTGAAATGTTTTTGGATTCTCTTTTCAGAAAATTATCTCTTGGTGCAAATTGAAGCTTTCAGGGAGCAAGATTGGCGTGCTCTTCGTGTCCTCCGGTCTCTCCGTCTCGCCTCTATCCGCTCCAGTGTCTCTCCCTCTTCCTTTATATAATTCTGTTATGAATCAGGTCAGCTGGTCGTGTCTTGTATGGCTAATTGTGTTTTCGGATAAGGAAATAAATTGGTTGGCCGACCGAGCGACGCGACACTCTCTGATAGCAGCACGCCACCATAACCACCCCGAAGATGAAGAACAGACCACACATTCCACAACAAACAACAACGGAAACGGTTTCGTTTCATTTTTATTACTACGTTTACTCTGTTATTTCTATTCATTTTGTTTTGTGTGCGGTGTCGTTCCTTTTAGGCGAGTTAGGGGGAAACATTTCAGTGGGAATTAGAAAACAAAGTTCATAAAAAAATATAGAAATGTGCACCCAGAAGAAAGGCAAACAAATAGAGAGATCTTAATTATAGTGTAATTATATTATCTGCGTTCCGAGGAAGTGCGTTGCTAATGACATGTAATTCTTTACTCAATTACCCCCGACCTCCCTCTCTCTTTCTCTTGCTGTTCCTCTTCGTCTGGTAACGCTGTATAGAATCATTGGATTCCGGGTGACAAAAAGCAATTACACTGAAAACGACGATCCTTTGTCATATAGAAGTTACAAACCGACTACAAGTATTTCGAGACTCACTAAACGCTAATTACCAAATAATACGAATTCAAACAAGATACTGGTAGAAAAAAGCGTCGAACAATGATTTCCGGAACAAACAAAGCGTACAGTTTGGATCTTTACGAAATACATCGAAAAACGCTCGTGTTTTGTTTTGTCTATTCTTTTGCTATGATTAAACGACGGAACTACACGTGACTTGGTTTTAAATACTACAAAAGAACGTTTACAAATAACAATTGTTCTAACTATTTTATTCTACCTTTTGCAACTATCCATGAAAAGCAATTGCTTTTGTGTAAAATAAAAGAAAATCTAGTTAAAACTAGTTTTGCTAAATTATTATATTTCTATGAAGTTTGATAAATTTGTATGTAATAATTAAGTTCTAATTGATAGTACTATTTGAATTATCCTAGAATACTGTATGACACAAGTATATGGATGGAATAACTGAAACAACAGTAATACTTATATTGTAGACCAGTGTCTGCCACACTGTTTGCCGCGAAAATTTAAAAATATAGGTAAAAATTATTTGAGTGCAGTGCCTTGCTAGATCAGAAAATTTAGTCCATTTAATGTTGCTGGGATTTTTATTTCGTGAGTTGCAAAACAAATTATCTTAGCCCAGTGTGCCACGAGGAAAACAAGTTTGGCAGATACTGTTTTAGACAGCAATAATTGAATATGATTATTATTTGATATGTGCAATACATTGAACAGTCATGGGACAATGAAATCATATAACTGCTCGACATATACAAGTATTGAATTAATAATTGAATGAGTAAGTACAATACGTGTAGTGGTATGTACTTAGTTTGTACATAATATGGGCAAAACTCCTTTCCAGTCATCCGAAGCGGGGCAGTGAGCGGATCGATCAAGTCCAAGACCACAAGACCCGGTTTATCTGACACCTGCCCCGGGAATTAACACGCACCTCTCCATAACTACACACTCTTATATATGTATAGACATACGTACACATCTATACAAACTTTATATATACACACATTACATGCGATGATCCATCCGTTTATAACGTGCAACGGACACAACGCACGCTTAAGCTAAGCCAATTACTTAACCGGCGACAAATTCAAGTAGTCAATCTGCCATTATTGGTTCGAACAAAGACAACGGCACCAGAAAAAAAAAACGAGGAAGAAGTCCTACAGCAATTACGACCCACATCATTTCTTGTTCCTTTCGTCCACTTATTTATTGTTGCTCCTTCTTCTTAATTGCGTCGAGCATTTAAATATTCATTAGGAATCTTGCCGGGGCCTGGTGCGAATTATAATAGTCATAATAATCATAATAATAATAGCAACAATGTTGATGAATTAAAAGTTAATTTCACACTCGGTTTCCTCCCGCATGACATTCCCTTATCTAGACCGAAAAAAATAATAGAGGACTTTGAGTAGGAAGGAGAACAACCTATCTAATACAATCAAATACAAATGTGAATTTTTACGGTTTCTGTGCATAAATAAAACACGAAAACGCAAACGGTTTTTCATTTGTTTCGTCTGGGCCTTTTGATCAGAATCTAAATTCATTACGGAAATTACCATTTCTGGTGGACGATGGATACGTTCCGAAGCCAGCAGCTCGCAAAACAATAAAAAAAAAACAAACAAACATTCGTACCGTTTCCTGCACTAAACATTGCAATTATGCAATGCAATGATTACATGCATTTGCGCATGTTCGTATTGGTTATGCTAATTGATTATATTCAATAATGATATAATATTTAATAGTTAATAAACGTATTCAGGCGTTCCTTATCTCGGTAAATTAGTATTTTTAGAAACAAATTGTATGCAAATAACATTATTTACGTGGCTTCAAATTGCAACGCAATGCAAAACAGTGCTCCGGGTTATTACAACCACAAATCAACTTCTCGCTTGATTCCCTCTACTATCTCGTTGTCCGCAAGAAAATAATAGTTATTATATTATAATTCGCTTTCTTTTATTATCCCCCAGTTGATGACATTGCTAATTAAATAATTTAATCATTGTTTTAATACGTTATGAATTTATAAATATTTTATTACAGAAAAAATCATTAACAATTACATTTTTTTCTAAATTCGTGTAATTAAAAACAATGCAATTACTTCATTATTAGGACTATTAATTATTGTTAAATATTTTATGAAAGTAAGAGAATTAAATAAAAAACACAATTAAATACCCTATTATTTTTAACTGTGCAATTTGGATGTGAAAATCATTTTTCTTTAAAACAAATTGGTTAATTTAACGAATACATTTTTATTACTTCCTTGTAATAATCAATATCATTATAAAATAATTTTATTTTTCGTCTTTTAGAAATAGTTGTTACATTAATATTAAAAGAAGAATATTTGAAAAATTAGCAATTAATAAGTAAACTGAAATAAAAATCATACAATAAAATATCAGAGGTACTTAATTTAATTTTATATTTTTTTACTAGAAATAAACAAGAAACTGTCTCTGAACATTGTTTATTACTTCCTTGATACATGTAAAATTCAACATGTTTGTATAGTTGAGTACGAATATAACTCATAATTGTAATGCATTTTGAATTATATTCTGTTTGTTTTTAATGTACCAACGTATGTTTCCACTTGTAGTATGTGAGTACTTAAGTCGTGATGGAAACCAGAGCATTAAAAGTACGATCATAAAAGTGCTTAGTTACTCTCATGGAAAGTTCGCAACGCGGTAATTTGCAGCTCAGGTGAGCAACTGACAAATGACGCTATAACAAATAAACGTTAAACAGGGTAGAAGCAAGCACGAAGCTTATTCCATTTAAATTTATGCACTCAATGTTGCACATAAGTAAGGCAGACGCATTCAGATTGAAAGTGAATATAATGCTGTTTTAATGATTATGCTATATATTATTATCCATGCCAAGATCTCATATTCATCGTTACTAATTAAACTTAATTATATTTGTTTAATATAAATAATTAACAAAAAAATGTTTATCGCAAATATTATCGATTCTTAATTAATTGATATTTAATTATTAATAATTTCAATGCGCTGTGCATATTAAAAAAAGTACATAAACTTGAAATAGGCAACAATAAACTTGGTTCAAGAGCTCCTTCTAATTTACCCATAAAGATAATCTAGGAATATAATTTAATTATTTTAATCCAAGTCATTATTAACGTGTAATTGTTGATATATGCACTTTATTATTAATTTATTATTCTATCTTCTAAGCGTATGCTTCAAAGAATAATGTGCATCGTTAGGTAGATAAAAGACATTTAATCTAATTACACTTTTCCTCGAATATCTTAAAAAAATATGGAAATCTAAAAAAAACTTTAGTTTTTTTTATATAAATATTATTTTTTTATTATATTATGAAAAAATACGAATTCACTAATAAATAACATTACTTTAAGTAAACAACATTTAATAATGGTAATATTTTTTTATCCAACAGCTTAAAATACAGTGGAACCTCGCTTAACGAGCAAAATGAATTGTAAAAAAATATGAGTCGCTTAACGAGTGACGATGAGAAGATAAGTCCCATATTTTTGAATATGTTTCACTATACGAGTAATAAAACAGAAATTTTGGAATGGATTAAACTCGTTAAGCGAGGTTCCACTGTATTTTACAATCTATTAAATATGCAAGTATCACTAAATTTATAATATTCATATTTAAACATAAAATGTAATTACCTTTGACTTTTTAGTTAGTAAAATTGAAACAATTTTTAGATTTATTTATTATTATATGACCATACGATTTACACTGATTATTTAGATTATTGAAAAGGTTATTAGTTATTACTAAATAAATAAGTTATGCCATGATTTGTAATTAATAAAAATAATAATAATATCTATTACAATTAATTACAAATATAAATAGTATTTTGTTATTTTCAGTTGAATATTATAATTTTTATGTATTTCTGATATGACTTGATGCCTTAGTAATCATATAATCTCAATTGCAGAACCATCAGTGTCATCAGAAGGTAACCCAGATATAATGGGAGTATCAGAGGAGATAGCACCGAATGCAGCAATGGAACCACGTCCAGCAGGAGTAGACCAAAGCGACGGCAGCGACCCAGAACAGGACGAGTTCACGCCTAAGCGGAAGCAGAGGCGGTACCGCACGACGTTCACGAGTTACCAGCTGGAGGAACTGGAGAAGGCCTTCTCTAGAACGCATTACCCGGACGTCTTCACGAGGTTTGTAAATGCTGCAACCAGCACCAGCAAGTGTTGCTGCAACAACATTAAAAAAGAAACTAACAAATCCGAACAACGGACAAATTGCCTAATTTGTTTGGTAATTCAATTAAACGGTTAATTGGTTGTAATTGTTTCGCTCGTTTTGGTTGTAAAATGTTTCTCTCTCGATCTGTTGGTTCGTTGTCGGTTAGTTGTCGGTCTCTCGGCGTCGAGTCGGAGAGCGAGCGAGTTCGTTATCTGGACGGTATCGTAATTGCCGGATATGAACGTTTATAAATTCAGCATCGCGGCACCGGCGCGAGGTGCGGCGAAATAATTAAACGTGCCCACCCTTAGACTCACCGCGAGAAAACTGATCTAATTTATGTAAGGCGCGCTCATTAATTATATCCACATAACGAAAACGCATTACATCGAAAATGGTTTCACCTCAACGATTACCATCGATTTATTATTAATTCACGCTCTTTTCAGCCGGTATCCGCTCCCCGAGATCACCTTCAACCCCCGCCCTCTTGCAACTCGCTTAGATCAATCAATCTATCTATCTCCCTCTTTTTCTATAATTTTCAATTAGAAAACCAGCTCATTAACACCACGGAAACCAATTAAGTACTTTCAGTCTAGACTGGTTCGATAGTGGCCCATAATAGTAATAGTTCCCTGCAGCTGAAAGGCGAGTCTCCATATCGAGAGCGCACACTCCGGAATCCCTTTTCAGATAATCAGAATGGTGTGGAAGGTGAGCTACCAAAATTCCATCGGTGGCCATAAACGTAAACGGAGGGATCGGTAGAAGGGTTTAATCTGCTCTTCCTAATAGAGATTTCCGATAAGGCACACATTTTTATATTTATTACCACTCGGATCCGGCCTAATTTCTAGACCTACCACAAATCCATATGACTCATCATCATACCCTCAGCTAGGACGGCTGGCTACACCGCGAACCATTGTTTGTGTTGCACATTCGTTCTCGCAACAATGAGGCTACGTTGTTCATTGTTAATCCAACCATACGATTCGTAATTAAATATGAAATCATTACAAATGCCATTTTCAATGTCACCTCACTTTAATTAATATTAAATAAATAGCTAGATGTTGCCTTACCATTTTAACATTGATTCAGACACAACGTATATCAAGTAATTATAATTAATACATATTATTATGTACTAAATCATGTGAATTGCTCATGCCATATTATTATCAAATGACAATCAAGTTTAGAGATAAGTTTACGTAAATTTATTACATTTATGTATACATTTTTAAAATGTAGATTTTCGAAATTAGTTAATGTTTGTTTTTTAATATGCTTTGTCTACATGGATTAAAAAATAATTTCAAATAATATTACATTATTATAATTTTAAGAACTGTGTCAACGTCCCTGTATACACAACATCTCACTGTATATTTACATAAATATTTTGTTAATTTACAAGATTGAAACACTTTCATGGTTCTTTTTCTGCGATTAACGTATGGTAACATAACAACCAGTAGCCGGTTCTCGAGGGCTCCGGGCAATATACCCATTTTAGACCTCCGAAATCATCCATTGATTATCGCGGCTGAAAGCTCACATGCCCAAACCCAAGTATTAATAACTCTTTACATTATTCAGAATAAAAGATGATGCTGCGTAACCAAATTATATCATCTAAAGAAGCTACTTGCGCACGTACATAAATGATGCACCTCATCCCGATGAATGAAACAGTCTTTTTTTGCTAACCCGTCAATTCACTTCTGTCCTAGTAGCAGCAGTAAAAAGGATAATAATGTTATGGTCTCGTCGCAGTGAAATATTTATTGGGTAATAAATCTTTTCGGTCGGTCGTGTACATCTCCATATCTAATTGGTGGAGTCTAAACAGAGCGAGAGTCGTTGGACCTTTCCGGTTTTCTCTCCTCTTTCTGCCTCCTTCTCGGTGGCAGCCGGCGACGAATTAGGCATCCTTGTAGATGCCTATCGGGGATTGCGGATCGGAAAACACGATCTTCGTATTTAAAAGTAACTTCCTGGACACCCAAAAAATTCTTACCTTGTCGCAGCCGAGAGAAGTAAAAAGAGAGAACCTGAAACGATAAAAAGAGAATTAAAAAGAATCAGCAGCGATTGGCGATTGGTGAAAGTCGCTGTAGCAGCGAAGCGGTCTCAAAATATAAATTACTGCCTTATCTATAATAACAAAATCTGACATTAAATAAGAAACTGTTTAATTGAACGTACGAAAAGCAATTATGAACATTACTTATACAACTTTTGTTTTCTTTTTGCAGGGAAGAGCTGGCAATGAAAATCGGCCTTACGGAAGCACGGATCCAGGTATGCCGTATCCTATTTCTCTTCTCTTTTGTTTTTTATCTCCTTTTGCTTATGTCTCCGTATTCTCTTTACGGCAGGACGTATAATTATCTTGCTGATTATTATTGCTTGATATCATTTAGCATTATATATACTTTCTAATTAAAGCCGATATAATCGCCAATTAATCACTTTGCAAAATATAATAAAGAGCGAAAAAAGGTACAAGAATATAAATATCGCTTACAAGAAATCAATAATTACATATTAAATGGTATTACGTAAATAATTGTAATTACTTCTTGTTTACCAATTATTTATATAATCGGAGAGCGGACAAGCAGCCAATCATCCAGGCTAACCGCATCGAAATCATCCGTGGAATTTCAATCTGTTCACTTCTGTGTAACTCGGCTCATTTATTCCTTCTTAACTCGGTCACATTCCCATGCAGTTAATTGTTATTGAATATTATTACTGCTCGAACAACGACAACAAACATAGGGAGTTACGTAACGCCATCGGATAGATAATTCACTTTACGCCGAAATAGAAACACACATCTCCTCTGACTCAGCACTGAATCATTTTAATTAACATTAATTACCGCACATAAGGTGTTCTTTTTTTTATACGTATTTACTTCGATTTAATAATATCCTTTGCGTAATTAACAATTCCGTGATTATGTGTTTCTCCTTTTCTTTTTCGTGTTCGAGTTTATGCAACGAAAATGTGTTGTAATTAATTAATCATTTTTACTGATTCTATTCTCTTGTTGATTTACGTTCACATTTTCGATGTGTTTAGTGCACTTGCAGCGCCATTTGAAATTACTATTCGAATCTGTATTTGCATACAGCTCTTAGCGAAGGTCGTAATCATTAATGTTAACTTAATATTAGAAATCAATAATATTTTTTTTATACAATAATCACGCTTTTCGCGCAATAACAAGCATCTTAATTAATTGGCTCGAAAATATATTTAATATTATTCAATTATTTCATTCCGGTCAACTTATGTTATTCTATAACTACTTTCTAACTTCTGATTTACGTCAAACGATTTTCATTCAATAATTCATATATACATGAATAAAACATAATATTCATTTTTCATTCATTTTAATATTACTCTTAATTTTTACAATAAAACTAATTTATTTTAACTAATTAGAAAGTGAACTGGAAATTCTTCAATTGTGAAATTAATTTCAATTGAAAAAATCATATGTACTCTAATTTTAATTCTTCACTAAACTTCATTTAAAAAAATGTGTTTGGCTATTTCACTGCTAACCAGACATTCTTATATAATTGGACTAACCCTGTATAATGATTACGTCAATCAGGCGAAATTACATGCTGCATAAATTTTACATTTCTTACGCTTTTTCTTTTCTCATTCTTTGTCGCTTTATAATTTAATAAATAATTTAATTAGTGGAAGTGATGCATTTACCTCATTATATGATTTGTATACATTAAGCGATGTTTAAAATAATTGTGCATAATGTGGAAACTAGTTTACAACGCACAAACAAATCAGCGAAGAGCAGAGCAACGTTGAAGAAAAAAAGCAATGCACACAACTTTTTATGAGCGTATAAAAACCTCGAATAATTGTCGATAATTGGACTTTGGTGAAAGAGCAGAAATGTATGTAATTGAATTCGAAATAAAAAACAACGAAAGTTGTTAATTATTGAATTTATAATTTATTTCATTTAATTATAATTATAACGTGATTTTCATATTTTTAATTAGTATTATGAAAGAAAAACCTTCCAACCTAATAAAATTAAAAATTTGTTATTATATTATTAATAATTTGCAAAAACTTCGTAGAATAAGAAACATTATTTTAAGTTTTGTTGCCTGAACAGGAAAGTAAATTTTGTATAATGATCATTTTTAATGCAATAATTAAGTGGACACACACTATAACCATAGAGATTATATAAATGTGAGATGAGACACCAGTATAACAATGTACTTTCCAAGTAATTTTTAAGTACTTGGGAAGTATCGTAGTGTAGTGAACTAAAGTATGTATGTACATCAAATTGATAATCTTTAACAAATATCATATATATTTTTGTAAAATACTAAGCAAGTTAGTAAAATAATGTTTATAAAGAAATATTCTGTTATTAACTTAAACATCTAAATACTACAACTATTTTGACACTTGTAAAGTATTTGTATAGTTATTCAAGTACTATTAATTAATCAATCAAGTAAATCAATCAGACACAATATTCTTTACTTTCTAAGTAATTAATTTTCTAAGTATTGAAGTGTATTTACTTTAATAATCTTCTAATAAATAATAAGAATAATAATCCAGTTACAAAATATTAGGCAATTCTATCTATATACATGGAATATATTGATTAGTAATTATGCGTTGCCCTAAACGGTCGAGCAATAAATAGCGGTTTACGAAACGCTAACAAAATAATTTCGAATGAGTCTGGTCCGAAATAATAATAAATTATTTAATAAGGAAATGTGTTAACACCTACTTGAATCCAGTTGAAATACGATCGAGTGTGATACTTTGCATGAAAATGAAGGATATACATTTCGAGTTGGTTACCGCAAATTGATCGAATAATAATCGTATCTGGTTTGCAATTGGAAATAAGAGAAAGAAAACGAATAGCAAGAAACAGGTACCATGATTCGATGCGAGACCTATCAAAAAAAAAGATTGAATCGAAAACGAACGAAGAAGAAAATAAAAGAATGAAATTGATAATTCGTAATGTAAATGCTGGACGCGTACAAAATGGAAATAACAATAATTCCAGCTACACCTACGTAAAGGTGTACATAGTGTATACACGCCTTGCATAATGTCGTGTCGGAATATTAAATAAGAGCGAAATTGTATCGCGCAATAATAGAAATAATGGCCCCAACCCCCCTTTCGAATTACTGACTCTAACAACATGTAATCATCGATAATCGGTTATCCGCTCTCCAAACACAAGGTGCATATTAAATCTGGTGATAATAAATATGCGACCCGGCAGAGTTTTTCTTTCTCCCTGTACAAATGATGCGGTCACATTCGACGAACGATGATGATTGCAGGGCTCTCCGATTTACGATTGGACACTCAACACGAAATTCCAATACTTAATGTTCGCTGCATGACTTTCAAAAACCATTGTCTTATAGCACCGATAAAAGGACATGGAAAGGATGAACAAGGCAATGAAAAAAATAAATATACACACACACACAAACTGGCGCCCCCAAATTTTCATTTTTTTATTTTTATTTGCTCTATCCTTCTTATATATAACAATCATATTTATTTTCAATAACTATTATTGACTTTGTTGCACTAAATAATTGTTTATAGTTTATTTTTTCAAATAAAATATAAATTATAATTTTTACTGCCATGGTTTTATATTTGAGCGAAGTAACTTTTTACCGGCGTTGGGAATATGTAAGAGGATGGCAAATCTGACGAATAAAGTAGATGTTCAATTCAAAGTAATTGCAATACATTGTTTCCAAATAAATCTTGAATAAAATAATATTTATTTTTTAATTCTTTTTTCAAATTTTTAAGTAGCTATTGATCTTTTTTAAGCGAATAAGCTTAATATTTTCTTTGATTTATTCTTATTATGTAGAATGATCATATTATCTTTCAAATTGATAATTAATTATGCTATATTATGTATATTTTTATTTTCTTGCTATTTTATTTCTTTAATGTACATTTACAAAGGTAGCCAAAATAAAGTGCCTTGCTTAAAATAAAATTGTTTACACTACATGCATGTAGAGTTGTGGAATCACGCCTCGTGCTATTATAATATAAAAGGCCTGAAATATAAAACGATCGGTTTTACAGTTGATTTCACGGAATTTTTGTGCAGAAACCGTAATAAAACTTAATCGAATCGGAGCGGCGGCGGCAACAACGACTATAGCGTTTTCGTTTTGTTTTCGGGCCGGAAAAAGTAAACGATCGTTTAATAATCGTCAACAAAAAGCATACAACGTTATATAAAATAATATGCATAGTGGGAGAGAAGGAGAAGAGAGACGGCTTCAGAGAAGAGGTACCGAAATCGAAGCAACATAAAAAAATAATACAAGAAGAGGAAAAACAAAAACGTAAACGCACTGTTGGAGTCATAATAATACGCGAGACTAAAATTACATACCATTAAAGATTATAAAATAATAATTCTTAAATTATAGATCGAAAGCGTAATATGTCCGTACCCTTAATAATTGTGTATGTGTATGCTTCTTCACTAGAGTTCGCTTTTAAATAATGTTATTAATTCCATTCTTTACCGTATAAGGAACGTCAAAGGACATTGGCGTGTATTCACTAGACCTGAACATTGCTTTTAGTCACTTCAATTCCATATTTTTGTTCGCGAAGATATTTATCTCGTTGAAATAATCGCTACTACCATTATATTACTTATATAAATTACAGTAAACCCGGATTGTTTGAAAGCGGACTAATCGAGGAACTAAAATTAATACACATAAATCTCACAGGCTTGACTGTACAATTAAAACAACATTTTCAAACCGGACTATAATGAATCGGGACTGATCGAAGCCGCACTATGCGAAGTACTGTTGTACATTGCATATCTTCTTGTGATAAATTAGTTTATTCGTTTTTATATAAATAAGATGACGTTGCTCTGGAAGATACTATTATATATATATTATGTTTTTTTTTTTGTAAGAACAATTGAGTAGATTTCAAGGAGAAGAGGAAAATTAAATGAATATTAAGGAAAATTCATCAGACCTGAACACGTCTTTTTAATATGACTTTGTTTTTTGTCCATTTTCTGTTATTCGCGAAACGAGACAAGGCTTCTCGAATTGATTCAAATTAAAAATTACATTTTCGCATCTAATTGGTTTTTAATATTGCCGTCTCGGATTACGGGCGGAGGGAATTGCGCTCTCGGAACAATGGACGTTCAGGAGAGAACCGTGTAATCGCGGCGGAAAAGA